CAGCTAACACCAAATATACAAAAATCTTGCAAGGTCTTTAAAGAGTTCTCAGATCACCAAAGTCAGAAAACTTCCCTTTTCCCTCACTTCCAAAAAGAACCTTGTCAAAATGCAAAGTGGGGAATGCCCAGCCTGTTTTAAAACCTTTTCCTAAAGCTCTGTGGACAAGAAGCCCATACTGAAAACAAAGAAGGTTGTACTGGAAGACAGCAGTAATCACCATGAAGCAAGTCATTTTTCTGCAATCACTGCCTACTTGAAGTGGATGAAGATCCTCAATGCTCCCATTTCAGACTCAATGGACAGAGGGATCAGCTCCCTTTTTGCAGCAAGGTAGCTTGAATTCACAGCATCCCTTGTCCAAGGAAGACACAAGCCAAGGCCTGAGCCAGAAAGTAACCTCTATCTGTCTCACTCCCTAAATGCAAAGGCTGTGGCTATAGCTTTGCCTCACCTATAGCTTTCTGCAGGTGTATTAAAGAGCAGAATCTGTGGCAAGCATGAGAAGAAGGTGCCAATTTGGCCTCAGCCCCAGCTACATTTTTGAGTTGGTTTAAGGCAAACTCTGGGCGCTGCTGATCTGCTGAAGCCCCTATCCCAGGAGCGGCTCTCTCACCTCAGCCAAGGTGAGACCTTTCCTCAGGCCGTGCTGTATGGCCACACCAGCTCCTTTCCACGCTAGCCCGGTGTGTGGCTCCACCAGCACTGCTGGGAAGGCAGGGAAGAAGGACATATTCCTCTAATTCACTGAATGTGGACGCTTATTTTTGCTTAGCAGACACTGAGACTTGTGAAACCCCTTCTTTCCAAGTGTCTTGCTACACCCACTAAACCTGAGAATAAGCTGCAGGTAGCAGATACAGCTTCAGACAGCCCTATATTTAACTTCACATATGCACTTCTCCACCGAAGGTCTGTCATCATCCCTCTGCACAACAAAATCTTACTAAAACATCAAAAGAGTGCACCACAGGCCTTTATACAGGGCAGATTTACCTCAGGAAACTGCCCACTGCCCTCCTTTTCTCTTGCTCATGGATAAAGAACATTGCCTGTAAAAGGTGAATTCTACTGCAGAGTACTTGACTCCATCATTCACTGCTGCTCCTGCCAGGATAGAAAAGAGTTGTTCAAGACAACAGCCACTCATGCCCCAACCAGGGACTGCCCTAAGCCCTCATGGAGCTTCTGTGCCCTGTGGACACTAGCGCTGAGAAACCCGTGTTGTCATCCTGGATGATACAGCCCTGAAGATAATTTATTTCTACTAGAAGAAACAAATGAACATGTTCACCGTGCAACATGTGTCGTCTCATTCTATGAAACAGAAAAGCCACCTTAAAATGTATTTCAAGTAAGTGGGAGATAGTGACACGCAGTCTGTACCAGCCAGCGTGCAAAAGCTCAAGCGAGCCATCTACCTGAACCCTTCTGATTCCTCCACAAACCCTGTTCCTCCAGGAAAGGACAAATAAATTGTCCAAATTGTTGATATAATCTAGAAAATGCAAACATCTGAATTTGCTACAGATTTGTTACAGTTTATATTGGTGGCATCTAGCTTCTTGTACCTTAATTTTTTTACTTCTCTTCTTGGATGATTTGTAAAGATGAACATGGAAAATATTATTTCATGATTAAGAATAAATTTAATAATTCAAATCAAAAAAATCTAGGAAAAGAGCAGATACAAATTCTCAATGAAATTGGTTCATGTTTTGTTCTTTTTATTGTAAGGATTCTTTACAAAATGTGTTTTATGATACTTCAATAACAGAAATAAGGAGAAGGCTGTTAATAGCCTTACTTGTGGCTGAGTCCCATTTTATTCTTGTCTTCTCCTTGATCTTATAGAGATTGAGTACTACTCATCTTGAATAAGCATAGCCTGTAGGCAGTTCAGCGGTATTTTCAAAAAATAAAAAATATATTGAAATTGAAAAATATATCTTCAGTCTAGTACTTTTCTTTTTACACTCGAGCTGTGTTGAACAAGCTGGCAGCACATGATTAATGCAATTTATACTGTTGGCTAATGCAGAGTTGATTAAAACTACCAAAAAAATCAGAATACAAATAAGATGAGTTAAAAAAAAAAGAAAGAAAAAAGAATATTCTTATTTTTTAGCTAGAAAATCCCAATTCTTATTCTATCTCCCAACATCTTAGAGGAGTATTTTTCAGAACTGCTTAAGGTGCACAGTATCTTATCAACACGTGCAGAGCACAAATCTGTATTACAAGGCTGTACATGGGAGCATATCAACGTCCCCCAGTTTGTTGGGATGTTTCAAGGGCCACACTATGAGTGTAGCTTTTTTTCCTCTAAGAGCAAATGGAGCACATGCTCACTGAGAATACATCATGGATGGCACGACCCTGATTATAATAGGAACAGGTACCCAAAATGAACCTACTCCTCTGCACATAAATTGCTGGGCTTCTGAGCTGGTTGATGAGCCTGATAAAGCAGCAGACACGTGAGGTGAACACCTGGGCAAGTGCTCTGCGATCTCCGCTGAGATCCTGCCCGGTATGTCAGGAATGCTGCCTTCCAGAAGACTTCAGAGAGCAACACTGGTCCAAAATGCCATCCCAAATGGAATACCTGAGGACATTTCACAGTATGAAACAAGCTAAGGGTGCACCAGGCAACTATTAGGACAGGTTAATACTCTGTATAAACAAAAACAGAAGTTATTGGAAACAAATGGACTATAAAGCCCAGAAAGGACAAACAGAATTTAAAACTACTGCTTGAAAGTGCCAATTTACAGAAAAAAAATATGGATAGAACCTTGATCACCATCACCATTTCAGTGAAAAACAGACCCCAGCACCTGTTCTCTTAAAACAGCGTGTTAAGGCTGGTGCCATGAGGTGAATGCCCCAGCATGATTTACATCTTGCTTCTGCTCTTGAGGATGCAGGCCCAGCACCTATCCCGTGGAAAACCCGCTCGTGTGCGTGCATGTGCATGTGCCTGTGCCTGTGCCGGCTCCGCAGCAGTTTCCCAAGCAAGGGAAATGTTTTCCTCTGCTCCACCCAGCGCAGAACAGGGCTGCAGAAAGCCCTAGGCCTTTTGAACTCTCAACCGTCTTCTTACCAAATTGTTTGTTTTGCAGCCAGAAAGGCTACGTAGAGATTACTGAACACAGCCCTCCAGACTGCGAGCAAAAAAAAGGTGACAAGTTTAAATCAATCTGCATTAGTTTATTGTATTTCCTCTTACTGTTTAAGCCAAATGCAGTGGAGAGCATGTTTATCTACTAAGAGAATGTCAGCAATTATGATTCATATATCAATCAATTCAATTTTTCTAAAATGATTCAGATTTTCATTTAAGGACTTTTAATTTCGGGCTAGAAATGTCCTTGCTGTTTTAGAATACTTTCCATATACTTTAATTCTGTATTTATTTTCAAAATAAAGTAATTATTATATTCTTACATGCTAGTTTTACTCAGCATTAAAGTTGCAGTAAGATAACACAATATATAATAAATAACACCAGAGCTGATTTGCTTTCTGCAAAAGTCACTTGTGCAAAAGTGACTTGTTTTGCTTCTGTAATAAACTGTGACTAGTTATAAAATATCTGCTCTCACAACACACACTTACATTTTCATTATTCAGTTAGCATTATCCCAAAAGGTAAATTAGTCATGAAATTCTCTTGCCATCCTTGCAATATCCCTGATTTGGAATGTAATGGATATGGGCAAAATATTTTGGAATTGGGGCAGATCAAGCCATGCTGTTTAGGTTATTACCTAGTGTTAGTGTTATTCCCTAGTGACTTCACACTTGTGGTAGAAAAACAGACTCAAACAAGCACTACAGTGTTACTGAGGATACAAATGACCTGGAAAAATACAGTTTCTATGGATATCATTTAATGAAGGCAAGCCCAACATGTCCCACATTTAACAGAATTATTTTTCCTCCTTTGCAGGTATTCAGATATATGTCTAGATCAGGTAGATTTTGCTAAGGTACAAATTTTTATACCATAGCATCGTTAAATACTATTCTTTCATGCAGAAGCTATTAAATTATAGATACTGAGATGATCAGAACATTACTGCATACGTAACCAAGTTGGATTTTTCCAGAGACATTGTCTTCTATATTTTTAAAACAGTTAATTATGGAGAACTAATCCTGTTAATGTAAGCTCATATGGAAAAGGAATATACTATTCACATTTTCTAAATGAAAAAGCAAATTTGTGCCAGAATTATCCAATGGTCTTATATAATCTGAATATATTTGCAAACACTACTTTTATATAGCAACCCATATTATATAATATAATACTGCTAAAAATCAGAAGAGTGATTTAGACAGTAAAGGAAATTAGGAACAGCAGTACTGAAAAGACCAAGGAAGACTAAAATGTCATTTGTTTACATTCTGTAATAGCCAGCTTGGGTTAGATAAACACATGGATTCTTTCTAGACGGAAATATTGCACAAGATTCTGAAATTAAGCACAGAGGGTGGGAAGTGCAGCTATAAGTAAGTGATGTTTTGCTTTTCATCACATCACAATAATGGCTTTCAGACCTGAACCATAACCATTAGATCTTTGTCCTCAGTGCACAATTCATAAAATCCAACTTCTGAGCAATGCCACACCCTTGTGATTAGGCAGCATTTCAAAAATATTTAGATAAAGCCTGATCAAATAAACATGTAGGCAGGAAATGCTGCTTGGAATGCACTCACTGCAATGTACTGCTATACAGAGCCACAAAGCAGCCTAACTTGAGAATTCAATCAAGCAAAATCTAGCATAATCTCATTACAGCCTTTGCAGTTAATGAAACCTATTTAAGTCTCTGTCATTCTGAGTTTTAGAGCAGACAAAAGCAAAAATCATTCAGTCTATGTAACACAAGCACAGAGAAACAGCATACAAGGTTTTATTCTTTAGGTTATCCTAGCTCTATACCAAGCAATGCATAATATGAAAAGATTACTCTTCTGCTACTCACTATTGCTCCAGGATTTCAGTAAATATTTGATACTGATTTCAAAGAAGCCTGAATCCTGCTGGCTAGCCATGTCTGCTGCATACAAAGAGGCTTCTATAATTCTGAAGCAGCTGAAGTGGCAGGTACTATGTATGTAGATGTCACTGTCACCAGTTAGTGATGTAAACGAGGGGTCAGAGGAGGAAATGAAGTCTCTGCAGATCCACTTCTTCCGCTCATGGTAGGTAAGCGCTTGAAAAAAAAAAAAAAAGGCTCCACAACAACAACAACAAAACCACACCGGGAGATTTTTGTCCTTTGCTCTTCCTTCAGGGCTCCTACTTTATGTATTTGCCGTTCATTTTATCTCCTCCAGCCCTCAGTACGGGTTTTCATTTATTCCGTTCCGCAGCTGGGCAAATTTCTGCCGCTCGGCTCGGGCACACGCAGCAGCACGGCACTTGTTCCATGAACACGGCTGCACTATCTTGTGGAAGGCGCCGGCGCTGGACGGGCGCGCAG